CTGCTAAGGGTTTCAAATGCTTGATTATCCTTGATCCTCACAGTAACCTTGTGTTGAAGGTACTGCTCCGATTTCACAGACAAGGAAGTGACTTCCATAGCTGTCAAGTGGCTGAGCCTGGATTTCTAGCCAGACTGCCTGACTCCAAAGGTCCCCTTAGACTTTCCAGGTCTCTAATGGCTGTGCTGTATTGCCCCTCCCAAGCACCGGTGCTTGGATGCACGGTGGCCCCACGTTGCAGAATTCCCCTTGTCTGTGGCTCATGGGCTGGATTATCACCTTTGCGCTACCCTGCCAGGGGGTGCCAACACTCCCGTCCTTTCTCCTCAAGTCTGCAAGCAGCATACTTGTTCTCCATCAGCTGCCTGCAGTTTCTCACCTCGTGTACCACCTGTGCTCCATCATCTGACCACACCGAATCAAAAGGCAAGCCGGGAATGGGTCCATCCACCTCTCTGCCCGGGAAGGGGAAGGTCTCATTCTCATTAGCGAAAAGAATAATAAAGCAGAGGAGAAAAAAGAAACCACCATAATTCTTCCGCCAGAAATTAGCCACTATTAATAGATGGCCATGAATATAGAAATAGATGGAGATGTGAATGATATAAATATACACATTATTATTTTACAAACCTGAATCATGCTTCTTTGTTAGCAGTTTTCACTCAGTATATTCTAATATTCTTCAAAGGCCTGTACTCTCTGGTTTAATGCCTCTGCTATACAAGTGGTTCATGGTCATTCAACATCCCTTACGCGTAACCCCTAGGTCTCTCCCATCCTTGTATGAATGACCTTTTTAGGTCCCAGTGATACATAGGGAGACTCCTTCCATTGAATAAGAAGCCTCCTCCCATCAAAGAGCTGGGAACCAATTTAACATAGACTCATGGGCAACAACGTGCCTTCAAGAACTGCCAGAGACTTTGTCAAATGATGAGTTAAATTCAAAATCTACTAAACATCAGTAGCTGGGAAGTAAAGGTAATTTGGAGTTACTTCTTCTCCTTGAACCTAGTATGAGCCCCAGGGACAGGAGCTTCTCGTCTATATTTAAAATGCTGGTTCAGTAATTTTTAGGTGATGTACATTAAGCTCATGGGTCAGACTTGACCTTCTGAAAAATTCAAATAATGTATACAGATTGGTTTCCTGGCATTTTTTCCTGTTCTCCATGCTTTCTCTTTAAAATGTCTGCCTGTGTCAGCAATTCCTCCTATATGTCACCCTCACTCACTGGATTGTGATTGGCCTGAGCTTCAATATCTGGCAAGCCCCTGCCCCCTTCTGTTCTCACCCACAGCCAGCGTGTGTGTGCTTCAACTCCCGATCACGTCACTCCTTCCCTCGGTCCCCTCCTCAAACATGACCTGTGTTGGTCACTTGCAGCCGGGTTTCACTGTGTACACCTGTTGGAAGGGAGTGCCCGGTAGGGTTGGGCTTGAATTCTGCACCTCACGTGCCTGGAGCCAGCGCTCAGGTCCCTAGGGTGAGTGTCGGGGAAGGAAACTTCGGACTCCTCATTGTGCAAGAACCCGAAAGAGGTAACGGGCAATATCATTTTGGGGTTTTCAGGCACATGGGTTCTTCACTATTGCCTTTGATGATAAGAAATATCTCTGTTTACAGAAATAGGACAGGGCAACGGCCTCATGGTTGTTTGTTGATTTATGAACTCCATAAATTACTGCTCTCATCGTCTGAAAAATAAAATTCTTTGTCATTTCCTTGCTTCACATAAACAACTGAAGTGAATTTACTGGAAAGGTTCTCCCCCTAACATTCTAGGTAGTCACCAATCTGAGAGGGAAAGAGGCAAAATATTTTAAAATATTTTCACTCTACCTGCTTTAACCACTGGAAAGATCTTTATACCATCTCTCTGCAGTATGGCACTAAATTGGCTGATTGCCACATTCCAGAAAAAGCTCTTCTGTATTCAATATGGGTAGGGTGGTCCCCCAGACTTCCATCTGGAATAAACTTAAGACACACAACACATATTCACCAACTAGACACCTCCTTAAATAGTTTAGCCTTGTGTCTCTTTTACTAATCAGTCCTAAACTAAGTCAGTAAAATTGCTTAACAAACTCATGGCACTGCTACCCTTGTTCTTCAAGTGATTCCTTGGCTAGTCGTGTATTTTGCTCTTGCCTATACATTTGAGAATCAGTTTAAGTTAAAAAAAAGAAAAACAATAGCCTCCTTGGAATCCTTTTTTTTTTTTTTAAGATTTTAATTTATTTATTTGACAGAGACACAGCGAGAGAGGGAACACAAGTAGGGGGAGTGGGAGAGGGAGAAGTAGACTTCCTGCTGAGTAGGGAGCCCGACAATCCCAGGACACTGGGATCATGACTTGAGCCAAAGGCAGATGCTTAACTGACTGAGCCACCCAAGTGTCCTGCCTCTGTGGAATCTTGATCCCTCTTTATAGATAGAGAAACTGAGAATCAGAAGAGTTATTTTACCTGAAGATACATGACCAATAGTCATGTACCAAGAGGTACAGCAGAACTTCAAACCCAGACAATTGAACCCACACTCAGCCACCACACCAATCTAGAAAGGGAATTTGAGGAAGTGTAGGCAGAACCAAACCACCCAAAGACCACCTGCCTGTGATTCTCCTTAACCATCACCAGTATTGCGTTAGACCCCTGCTCTGTGCAGTACTAGCAAGGATTTTACTTGGGGGCATGGTGATCTTTTGTCTTTTACAAGGAAAAAAATCTTACATTTTCTTTGTAATACCCTACTACTGACTAGAAACTGAGGAAGGCATCATTTCATCCCCTGCATTTCCAATGTCAGTTGACTTCCTTTTCTAAGTGTTAAGTCAGCGTAGCAAAGGACTTGCCAAATACTCCGCAAATACTAGAGCCCAGAATCCTAGTGAAGAATCATCTTTCTCCTGGCCAGATTGTACGGAAGCTTTTAGTGGCTAATCTAGGGACAGTGAATAAAGCACATGAATATTCAACATCATCCTATAACTGCTGCCAAACTGTAAACCAATGTACATCACTCCTCTGTATGTGGCTCCTAAAAGTCAAGTGCATGGAGAGTGGGCTGCCAGCTTAATGCCTACTCATTAGAGAGAGCCAGACTATGTTAGAACTGGGTGTGTCTTAAGGAGTTTGACAACCTGGAGATGTCTGTGGGAAATGCCGCCTGAGAAAGGTCAGAAATGTGGTGCATGGGTCTCTGCAGAGTCCTGGCTTTGTGCCAGAGAGCAGGGCTTCTGGGAGAGTGGGGTGTCTCAGCTGACTCCAGAGAAGGCAGGCCTAAGGGTACTTTTCATTTCCCCCCTATCAGAAATGTATGGAAACCATGTGGGAATACTGTGTACCTTCCAGATTGTCTAAGCAAGTGTAAACGTTCTGGAAGAATGCACCTTATATCTGTCTTCCTGCCCAAGACTATCCTCAAAACCAATCTGGGTGGCCAGAAACAAGTCCCATTCCCCACTCTGAGCATAGCTCGTGATTCTGAACTTCACTGAAGGCGGCACTGGTTTTTGCGTTTGGGGTCATCTCTGGGCTGCTCTGCGCAACCCAAGAGAACGCTCCCCAGCCCAGCTCACACCCCAGGAGCAAAGCAGCCCAAGCAGGTGCACAAGAAAGAACTTAGGAGTAACACCAAGAGCTATGATTAGTTATGGGCTGTGACAACTGTAGGCAAATCACCCAACTTATGAGTCATCTCAGTTTCTTATTCCGAAAAATGGGATAATAATAATACTCATCTCATTAGATTCATGTGAGGCTTAAAATGGTATAGTAGATGTGAAACTATTATATAGATTCTTTGATGTTATTAATAAAGAGTATAATGAAGTCTAGGGTCTCCCAGCTATTACCATAGAGAGTTCATCCTAAAGTTTGAGCTCTTTCTGGGGAAGTTTGCAGTGAGATTTTGCTTCTAGGAGCACCAGGCTGCTGTGCATGATGGCCTCAGCTTTATTTATTTTCCCATCAGTGTATTCGAACCTCCTGCCTTTACACTTTTCCTCCAAGGCTTGATTTGCCACACCGTAAAGTCATATCATTATGCCGTTTTGGGGTTGGAGACTGACTACCAGGCTGTGAGTCGGTTGCTATGCATGTTTTGAGTTTCTTTCTGATTTTAGAATGTGTGTGTGTATGTGTGTGTGAGTGTGTGTGTGTGTGTGTGTGTGTCAGGGGTGTGATGGTGTGGTTCTCTTGCCTTCCTCATTGGTTATTTGTGTTTGCTGATATCTCAAAGTCCATCCATTGTCCACCTTCATTAAAGTGTTCCACAAATACATCTATTTCAAATTAAGCTCCAATGACTGTTCCAATGGTTGGGGAGAAAATGACAATTTTCAAGGTAATCGTGTCCTCAGGAGAAGTGACAGTGCAGTGGAGGAAGGCAAACAATGGGACAAGTCCCAGCAGAGGGTGCTGCATGGCACCTAGTACAGGTGCTTGGGGAGGGAGAGCCCGCGCCAGGGAGCTCCCTGATCTCATGCAGGCCAGGCTTGCCAGAAGAAGAGACGTGGTCGGAGCAGGATCTGGAGGATGAGAAGTGGAGGGGGGAGGGAGGCGCTCAGGCAGGGATGGCAGCAGGAGGGAAGGCCCAGAAACACAGGCACTGCTTGAGCCCCAGAGATGGGAGCTGGCTCCGTGGCTGAGCAGGAGGGCTTGAGCCACCTCGACCACCTCTGAGCCGTAGAAGCTCTGGAACCCTGGCCAAGAGGCTTGACCTCTCAGGATCTCGGTTTCCTCCTCTCTAATAGCAATAACTACCTCGCAGAGAGCTAGGACAATTAAAGGAACTATTCATTTTAAAGGGTTGACACTGTGCCTGATGCAAGCAAGCACTATGTAAATGCTGAATACAAATAAATCAACTCATGTGCAAGGTGTTTGATCTTCAGAGTATCTTTTTAAGAGCTGTTTTGTTTTTTTTTTCCTGACTCTTTAAAAGCACAGATGATTTTTTGTAACATGTATCATTGGTTTGTATTCTAGACGCTTTCCCGAGTGCCGGGCCTTTTTCCCCCTCTGGAAGTATTCCCCTGTGAGTATTTGAATAAAAGCAACCACACGCCATGGACCTCATCGGGTTGCTGAAATCTCAGTTCCTGTGCCATCTCGTCTTCTGTTACGTGTTTATCGCCTCAGGGCTAATAATAAACACCATTCAGCTCTTCACTCTCCTTCTCTGGCCAATTAACAAGCAGCTCTTCAGGAAGATCAACTGCAGACTTTCCTACTGCGTCTCCAGCCGTAAGAGTTTTTGCGTATTCTCTATTTGCACCCTCACGGGTGTGGGGGTCAGCAGTAGGGCTTCGAGGGGCTCCCTGGGCTTGCACTGTTTGTTCTTTTCTTTTCGCTTGTTTCGGGTCTGAAGTGGCTGTTCTGTCCTCTCTCTGAACAAAATTATTTTCTGAATGAGTAATGTCAGTAGCATACCAATTCAGTTCAACAGGCACGGAAAGGTATCCTGTAGAAAGGAAATGGGCGTTCTGTCTCCGTTTTTGTAGTTTTCCTCCTCAGAAGCAATCAGTGTGAATGATTTCTTAGTTACCCTCACGGAAATAGCATATATATATATGTATGTATATATGTATGTATGTATGGTTCTTATGTGTGGACATGAATGCAGGTGAGTGTCTGTGTATATGTCCAGATACACAATACATACTCATATTTTTAAAAACGAAATGACAATATAATATATTGTTCTCTTTCTTGCATTTTTTCTTTAACTTTTTATTTTGAGATAATTGTAGGTGTGCGTGGGATTGTAAGAAGTAACGCAGAGAGCTCCCATATACCCTTCGGCCAGTTGTCCCCGGTGGGAGGGAACCTCTTGCATCACTCTAGTATAATGTCCCAACAAGAAAACCAGCACTGACACAATCCACCAGCCTTATTTAGATTTCTCCAGTTTTATATACATGGATTTGTGTGTTTGTGTGTGTGCGTGTTTGATTATACTAGACTATTTTAAACATGACTAATCCCACTGGCCTGAATTTTAAAATTGAAATGAAAGGGGATTAATCAGAATATTGGATATGTCTAGAGATGAGTTCTGTTGTTGATTGACCTTAAATTTGTACCTCTTCTCAACAGTAGAGAATGCAGTATATCATTACCAATTATATATATGGGTGTGAACATATTTAACAATATGAGCTCTTTCAAATCAAGCAATTTAAAAATCTCAGCTCCATTAGATTATGCCAAGAGTCCAAAATTATTGGTATCTTTCTGAAACCCTTCAAATGAAGCAATCAAATTTGAATTTGAATCACAACAATACAAGCTGCCTACAATTATCCAAATGGATTACCACTGATCCAGTTATTTTTTTTCAAAGATTTTATTTATTTATTTGAGAAAGAGAGAATGAGAGACAGAGAGCACAAGAGGGAAGAGGGTCAGAGGGAGAAGCAGACTCCCTGCTGAGCAGGGAGCCCGATGTGGGACTCGATCCCGGGACTCCAGGATCATGACCTGAGCCGAAGGCAGTCGCTTAACCGACTGAGCCACCCAGGCGCCCCCAATCAGTTATTTTTTAAACCTCAAAATACTAACTTGTGAGAAAAAAAATATAGAAACATCCTTACTCATGATTTCTTTCACCAACTCAGAACTTGCAAGTATGTTTGATACTATTTCTGATATGGTGTCAGTGCTAGACCCACCATATCTTATGTTAGTGTGTTTTACACAAATATGTCCTGAAAATAGTCCTAAGATCATAAAGGCAAGTTATAACTGAAAAAAAAAAAAGAATCTTTCATCCACGTGTCTATAGCATATTGCCTACAGTACCCTTCAGTGCAGTGGTACGTACTTCAAGTTTCTTTGTGCACCTTTTACTCTCACGTCGGTCTGTGGTACTTAGGCATCTGGAAAAGGGACAATTGTCAGAGCAGGGCAGAGGCAGTAGGAGGTGGCCTGAGCCTGAATTGTAGCTGTTTGAAGAGGGAAGAGTTGGCATAAGCAAGGGAAGGTGATGATTGTCTGAGATTTACCTTTCGATTTTTTTTAAAAAGATTTTATTTATTTATCTGCCAGAGAATGAGTGAGCACAAGCAGGGGGGACGGCAGGCAAAGAGAGAAGCGGGCTCCCCACTAAGCAAGGGACCCCATGCGGGACTCGATCCCAGGCCTCTGGGATCATGCCCTGAGCCGAAGGCAGAGGCTTAACCAACCGAGCCACCCAGGTGTCCCATACCTTTCAATTTTGAATGTCTTTCCATACTCTAGCAATAGGTGTCTACTTAAACAAAATTTAAATTTAACAAAGCAATGCTGATTGCACTTTTCACTGAAACCCGTATTTATATGATTTGCACACCCCTATGAGATTCCAAAATCTGTCAGTTTACAATTTGAAGTCATGTCTGTTTGCTCTGTCATACCCCCTAACCAAGTTTCAAGCAGGTGGTTCAGAATTGAGTTTCTCATTTGGAGTCAAGAAGCAAGAGGGAGAATTCAGGATGCGAGTTCCTAAGAGTAGTATATTTTGCTTGTAGAAGGTAGTGAAGACCTACCAAGGTTATGGCAGGATAATGTCAAATTCTTCTGATGGTGCTTTAGCCTACTTGTTTCTTTTGGAAATTAAGATGGGTAACAAAGAAAGCAAAATGGATTTTTATCCATCACAAACTGATTAAGTTATTTTAGAATAATTCCAAACGAAGCTTGGGAACTAAGCATCCAAGACTGCCAGCATTTCCCCACACAGGGGGCACGGAAGGACAGGCAGCCTCATGGGAAAGCCTGGCGGCACATCCGTCTGTGGGCAGCTCCGTCAGGTACACCCGCGGCGGTCTGTGCCTATGGCCCCAAGCAGAGCATTCACGGGCTATCGGCTGAGCAGACACAGAGCCATTTTACAGCCATGTGGGTAGAGAAGGCAAGGAGTGGTCCTGCCTCCTGGGAGAAGAGCAGGCGGCAGAAGGGGAGGGTGATGCAGCCTGGGCTTGGTGAGGGGGCACCTCGCTGTAGCAAGTCCCGTACAGATTCGGGGCTCATCCTTTTCCTAGAGTCCCTGTCCTTGGTACCCTAGCACGTGCTACACAGCAAAGCTGCTCTCCTCTTTCTCCTTTCACGTGCTCTCTGTAGTTGGTAGATTTCCTTATAACCTGTGTGCTACACGATGACAGCAGAGAACACATAACAGACAGACTGCTGGCCGTTGATGGTCACAGGCTACAGGTCGTGGGCTCCTCGGCAGCGTGGAATGAGAGACGGTCAGGCTCCTTCTGTCCGCTTCTCCCTCCTTCTCTCCAACTTGAGACAAAAACTGTTCATGGGGTTTAATTGTGTCTTCTGGTGTATGAATCACTCTAAAGCTTAGAAAATCAGCAGCCACTGACATTTTAAGAAAAAAGGCAGAATAAGTTGTTTCCTGGAGACTCAGACCCCACACCCCTTCCCCCCCGCCCCGTTCACGTTTTACTAATAGAGCTCTGTCAGCAGCCCTTTCTCTTTACATGTTTCTTAAGAGCTTGGTATTGTACCAGGTAAATCCAAAGTAGTCAGCAGCCCTGGTGTGGTGAAGCCGGCGTGCAAAAGGCCACACCGATGTGAATGACACGTAGAGACAAAAGGCAGCCAAGACAGCTCAGTTGTTAGCAAGACACACAGAACAGAGCATTTCATTCTGGAGGCCAGGACTGACACCATGCATAACAATTTCAAAGCATATTTAATCGATGGCTGGGTTTGGGATGATTGTTTTATTTTACTTTCGCTTAGATTGGGAAGCAGGAAAGGCTAAGTAAGCCAGGAGGACCGGGGAGTGAGGACAGGGAGGGCGGAACCAGCTTTGGCAAGGGGAGGAGCAGTAAGAAAGGGACACGGAGCCCGGCAAGGAGTAGAATTGAATTACCTTTCCTTTGCGCAGGAAGTGCTTTTAATATCTAGGGAAAGGTGGCCAAGACCGGCTGGCTTGTTTTTCTTCCCCTCTGACACTGCAGGCTAAAAAGGAAAAAAAAAAAAAAACGATAAAAACAGAAAGATGAAAAGAACCTATTAACGGCAGAGCTTTTAAAAGGGGGTGGGGGGGTCAGGGAGGACTACAGATGACCTTAATGACCCAGCAAGGAAAGGACTGCTGGTAACAAGAAACAAAATGGAGACACCCCTCACCCTCCTGCCCACCCCCCCCACGCCCCCCTCAGGCCCTGGTGCCTTGCTGCCAAATTCCCTGCCGCTAACTAGTTCTGTGTGGTTGAGCCACCCCATTTAATTCCTCCGGATTGTGATACTCATGGTTTTCAATGTCTGTCTGATGCACAGTTCCAGGGGCAAGGCTGCATGGTGGCCAGGGGTCAGTTGGCATTTGGAGTGCCAAGATGCAAAAGAAAATGTCCTGCCTTCCTGCTTACAGCTGCCTCTTCTTTTTTCCCATTAGGGCAATTAACTACTTAGATAGGTCACTTCAAAACACGAACTACATTTCAGTAAAGGGAATGGAGTGGAATTGTCCAAGTTTCCAAGATTTTTCTAATAATGGGTTTAGATGTTTTGTTTTTGCACTTGGGAAGATGTTTCCTCCTGTCTTCCGCATGCCTGGTTTGCTCCCCCTGACTTGATTATTGGTCACTTTATTAGTAGTAGGCAGTAGTTGAGCATGAAGAGAGAAGGAAGCTCTTGATCACCGCCTACACCACCACCCATGTGTCCTACCTTGAAACAGATGTTAGTTTTCCTGCTGTAATAATGATAGACATTTGCAATGGACTCCAGGATATATAAGTCACTTTGGAGTTGTGACCTGAGAAATGGGGCTCAGCAGTATGGTGAGCTTGGCAGAAGTCAGTCTGTGATCCTCTCTGGAAGGATCCAGGCTCAGCAACTTGTCAGAACAGCCTCAACAAGGGGATGTACATGCAGACGGGATGGAAACTATGAGATGCCTAAGGAACTCTGCATCCCAAGGCATTGAATTCCCGGGACACGGGTGAAGTTGAAGACCATGGAGATAGGGAGGCAGCTCCATCCTCCTGAGACAAAGCAGATTCTTCACCCAGCCAGCGTGTGTCATTGGTAGGAGAGTGATCCATCAGAAAAGGGGTCGCTGTAACCTTTTCTGACATGACCTTGGGAGAAACGTTGCATCCTATTTCCTTGGCAGCAGGCTGGATCTGTGTCTCTCTTCCCAGCCTGATTAGTGGCAGGGCTGCCTTTCTCATTTCAATCCAAACTGATATTTCACTCTCTTCAGTCGTGGATGGGTTTGACTCCTTCACTTGCCACAATAG